AAATCAACTTTATTGATCTATATAATATTTAAGAATACATTGCAATGAGGTGTTTTTTTTTTCTTTTCTTTTTTTTTTTTGTGGTTGGCAGGTAGAGGAATTGTACCCTGGACCTTGTTGTTATCAGCACCATGCTCTAACCAACTGAGCTAACTGGCTGGCCCTGCAATGAATTTTGACATGTCTGTGCAACTGAGTGATCACCACCATGATCAGTATATAAAGCATTTCCATTATCTTCCCAAATTCTCCTGTGCCCCATCTGAGTCCAGTCTACACCCACCCACCACCCTCTTCCAGACTCAATCAACAACTTCCCTGCTTTCTGTCATCTAGATTATATTTGCCATTTCTAGAATTTCACATGAAAGATATGTCTTTGGTGTCTGTCTTCTTTCACCCAGCAAAATATTTTCAGATTTATACATTTGGCTGTGTGTATCAGTAATTCATTCCTTTTTTAATTGCTAAGTAGTGTTCCATTGTGGAAGTGCCTCATTTTTTTTATACAGTTACCACCCATGGCTGGACATTTGGGCTATTTGCAGTTTGCCTATTTATGAATAAAGCTGCCGTGAACATTAAAGAATAAGTTTTTGTGTGGGCAAATATTTTAATTTTTCTTAATTAAATACCTAGGAGTGAAATTGTTGGGATGAACGTTCAGTGTATGTTTAGCTTTATAATAAATTTCCAGACTGTTTTCCAAAGTGTTGTATGGTTTTGCACTCCCAGCATCAATATATGAGTGTTCTAGTTGCTCCACATCCTTTGCCAACACTTGGTGTTATGTTAGTCTCTTTAATTTTAGTCAATATATGGCTGTACAGTATTATCTGATTGTAGTTTTAATTTGCATTTTTTGATCATAAATGATGTTAAGCATCTTCTCATGTGTATATTGGCCATTCTAATTTTTTGTGTGTGAAATATCTGTTCAAATCTTTTTACAACTAATTTTTTTATTTTTGGTTTTAGTGAATTCTTAGAGTTCTTTACATTCTGGTTACAAGTCTTTTATCAGACATATGGATTGTGAATGTTTTCTTCCAGTTTCTGAACTGTCTTTTGAAGAGCAGAGGTTTTTCATTTTGATGAAATGCGATTTCTTTTCTTTTTTCTGTTTTGGTTTGTGCTTTTTGTATTTTTCTCTAACAAAGAGATTTTTTTCTTTCCTTTTTAATTTTAATTTTTTAATTTTAATATTTACTTGTATATATTTGTGGGGTACAGTGTGTTGTTTTAATACATGGAATTACTGCACAATAATTCACTTAGGATAGATAGCATAGTTTTGAACCCATTAGTCCACCACTTCTCTTCCCCTTCCCCCCTCTCCCTTCCTGGCCTCTGGTAACCATTCTACGCTCTACTTCTGTGAGAACCACATTTTTTCAGATTCCACATATGAGTGAGATCATGGGGTATTTGTTTTTCTGTGCCTAACTTAACTTCACTTAACATGATGGTTTCCAGTTCTGTCCATGTTGCTGAAAATGATAAGATTTCATTTCTTTCTGTAGCTGTATAGCATTCCATTGTGT